GGGGGGTGGGGAGGGCCTAGGGAGGAGCGGGACCTAGATGAAGATTCGGAGGGTGAGCAGGAAGACTCCTGGGCATCTCTGGCTCCAGGTGGCCTTTTCCTCTCCAGACCTCAGTTTCCCTGTTTGTAAAGTAGGCATGGGAGTTGGACCAAATGGTTTCTTTGAGGCAGGCCAGTTTTGCCAGTCCCGCAGTGAGTCGGCAGCGAAGGAGAGACCCCGATGCCCCACCCTGAGGAACCTGGGAGCAGTCGCAGGCATGTCATATTCCAGGGTGGTCCCCACCTAGCCCAGCACTCCTCCAGGGGAGCCCAGCCCATGGGCAGGGAGGAGATGAGTTACTCCGGCAGGCCTCACAGTGCTCCCATCGGCAGGCCTGGCAGCCAGCCTTCACCCTGATCCCTGGAAGCGCCTGCTAACTGCGTTCCTTCCTGACACTCGCTAATTGCATTCCTCCTGACGCCTCTTCCTTCTGGCCCTGCTGGAACGATCGAGGCAGCGCCTTCACTTGAGATCCTGGACTGCAGCCCACCGTCTGACTAATCCCGAGGCCTCCCTGGGGCCCACTCGGTGCCTGGTGCCTTCGTGCAGATGAGAAGGCGGCCCTTCCTCAGACGGAGGCCGCCTCTCCCAGAGCCTGGCAAGTAAAACAGCCCGTCGTCCGGCCACCAGACGGCCCTGTGCGGTGAACAACTGGCTCGGCTGCACTCGGCTGTGCAAATGTCTCTGAAAATGACCGAGAGAAGTAGGAAACAGGCTTAGGGGCTGCAAATGTAAAGGAAATAAGGTGTGTTTTCCTGGGCGCCTGGATGAAGAAGGTGTGAGCAACTGACCTTAAATTCCAAAGAGGGAAGTATGTGAGGAAGGGATGTGCAAGGGCAGGAGATGCCAACGCCAGCTCCCTGGGTACCAGGGCTGGGGAAGACCTGTTCTCCCTGGAAGGGTTGGAAGGGGCCTCGTTCGACCGTGAAAGCTAAAGAAACTTGTGGAAGAGAAAAATTGCAGAGGTTAGAAAGAAGTCATTTACCCAGGCTGGGTCAAAATACCTGGGGCTGTGGGTGGGGATGGGCCGGGCGAGGGATGGCTCATCACAGCACCAAAATGTTCCTGGGGACCTGGTCCTTTAATTTGTGGTCTCAGAGCCTGTAATCTGGTGTTTTCACCTTCCACTATTTAGAAAGCCTTTTTATTAGGATAGCTATTTTGGTTGAGAAAACTCAACAGTCTATGTTAACAGGGCCTATAGGACATCTCCCCTCGCCCCGCCCCCTACATCCTGAAGCTGCCTGGAGCCCCAGGATCGATGTGGTTAAGCCCAAGATCCTGCAGTTCTGTGCTGCTTGGGTCCCTTTCACATGCCTTTGCCTGGCAGTTCCGCTGCCAGGAGCTCCCTGCTCTTCCATTTATGAGGAGTATAGATCTGCACCATTATCAGGTGTCCCCCAACCCCACCTACCTCCTGCCTCACCCATGGTGCCTCTCCAGCAGTGCATCTGAGCCCCACCAGGTGTGGGAGGAAACCCAAGCCTATGGGCCCCGGCAGGCTGGCCCAGGAGGACTGGACAGGCCAGAGGGCTGCTATCTGGACCCACAGGACAAAGAAGCCACCTGCCACACCAGCCCCTGTGGCCCTGTGACAAGGATGAACATTTAGCTCACCGCAAGGGTCAGGGATCATTCACATAGCCAAGGATCCAGGCTACCTATGACAAGGATCAGAATTTCTATTGCACCTGGGGTCAGATTCAGACATCACAAGGGCAGGGCTGAGCCCAGGAATGTCTGCGCTGACTGTCAGCTGTGTCAGGGGGTCCTCTGGCAGTCCTGGAGGGGCTTCTCTGTGCCCCAGGCCCCCCTGTGATGCCCTGGGGTCTAGGTTGGGGAAGCTGGAGTCTGACGCGGCAGAGGTTCACGGGAGGAGGGCTGAGGGCAGAGTGAGCCAGGCGCCATGCCTACTCCACAGACCTGCCCTGCTCCTGGCCTCACCCTCTCTCCTCTCCACCCTGCCCTCCACCCAGGCCGCAACGTGAGCCGCAGCTGCACAGACGAGGGCTGGACAGACCTGGCGCCTGGCCCCTACCCCATTGCCTGTGGCTTGAATGACAAGGAATCCGATTTGGATGAGGTGGGCCTCAGTGCCCCTGCCCCCACCAGGGCACGTTGGCCTGCCAGGCTCCTCCCACTTTCTCACCTGTCCTACATCTGTCCCACCCCCCGGCACCCTTCTCAGACAGAGCCCCAAATGTGAAATCACCCCACAGTGTCTTTGCCTTCTTCATGCCCCATGTGCCTCCCTGCCATGCAGCAAGGAGGCTTTGTGTCAGGGTCTGAAGGGCAAGCAGTCTTGGTTCCCTAGGCTGCCAAGCCCAGAGTTGGCACAGAGCGGGTGCCGGACACATGGGCAGGCAGAGTGCGAGAGATCTTCTCTCTCCCCCTCACTGACTCTTCCCATGAAGGAGCAGAGGTGGGGGTTAAAGTCAACCCCCACCCTCGGAGGCAGCCCCGTCCCATGTGGAGACTGGGGCTTCAGGGGGCCTGGGCTCTGAAGGGGGCAGCTCAGCTGCCCTTGGGAGCCCTGGGCTTCAGCCTCTTCATCTGCCAAGGGTGGGGTGGGCAGGCAGGATGAGTAGGGCACCCCACCCCACCAGTACCCTTAGGTGAGCTCACCCCATCCCCACCCAAGACCCTCACCCACCTCCCTCCGGCAACAGCAGAAAATGTTTTACAACTCAGTAAAGACTGGCTACACCGTCGGCTACAGCCTGTCCCTCACCACCCTCCTGGTTGCCACAGCCATCTTGAGCCTGTTCAGGTAAGGTCCAGCCCTGGTGACAAGCCTCAGAGCAGACCTAGCCAGGTCACCCCCGTGCTCCAAGCCAGCCTGGCCCAGGCACGCTCTGCCCCCTCCTGTGTCACCACCCCTCAGCCCCCCTGCCTGGCCAGCCTCCCCTAGAGACAGCAAGGGGCTCAGTGTCCCACCTGTCCTAGCCTAGTCCCCCACTGATGGCCTTGCACCTGGGGATAGGGTACCAGAGGGCAAGGCCTGTGCCCTGGACTGACACCTGAAGGCACTTGGAGGCCAGCTGCACACTATTGGTGATGGGACACCTGGGACAGGGCCCCCCTTTGGGGCAGGGCGAGCACTCGGGCCACTTGCTCCCTCCGCCCTACTCTTCCTCCGAGCACTGGACAGTGTGGGTGGGTGGGGGTCCGAGGCCCCTTCGGCCACCCAGCTCCGTCCACCTCATGCAGGAAGCTCCACTGCACGAGGAACTACATCCACATACACCTGTTCGTATCCTTCATCCTGAGGGCGGCCTCCGTCTTCATCAAGGACCTGATCCTCTATAACAGCGACGAGTCCGAGAGCTGCTCCGAGGCCTCGGTGAGGACCCTGCCCAGGCCCAGCTCCTGTTCTCTCCTTTGTCTTCTCTCCCTGAAAAGGACTCTCCTCTTCCCTCTTCTCTCCCCCCTTCCCCCTTTTCTCTCTCCAAGGATGGCCAACCCTGCCTGACAGCTCCTTGAATCCCACTTCTCTCCCCACAACAGGAGGTGGTGCCCAGCCATCTGGGGGTTCACAGACCTGCCCCCGCCAATGAGAAATGTCTCTGCTAGGTGGGAAATGGGACTTCATGGGGGCCCACAGCCCCATCCCACCTCTGTTGCTAACTCCCCATGTGACTTTAGGAAACTCTGTGCCTCGGTTTCCCCATCTGTACAAGGACTCCCAAGCTTCCTTCCAATTTTACCCCCCGCCATCTGCAAACCCAGGGCCCTGCTCACCATGCCACCCTTCCTACACCCCCTTGCCATGTGGAGCCAGTCCAGACACACAGCCCTCCTCTTCTGTTCTCCCTGCCATCAGGAAGTCCGGGGGCTTCCTCGAGAAGGGGAACTAAGAGCATCTAAGAATTCATCGCTGACACTGAGGGGTCCATCTGCAGGTGATTCTGAGCTCAGAATCCCCTCCCTGAGTGCCCTCAAGCTAGGACAGAGAGCTGGAGACCAGCCCTGGCACCACCCATACCTGAACTCCATGAGTGATGGCAGATGCAGTGCATGGTTTCGGGGGTCAGAAGTACCTTCTCCCCAAAGAGTTAACCTATGATGGTGGAATCTCAGGCATCTCAGCAAGGGGAAGGGAAAACCCAGGGGAGCCACCCTGGCCATTCCCAGAGCTCCTCAGGGGATTCAGACACTTGGCGGCAGCAGCCGCAGAGCCTGGGGAGCCGCCTGCAGCCTCCAGCCCACTCGTTAAGGGTAATTGTGGAGATTGGCTTCTCGATTCATTAGCAGCTCCGTGAAGCTTTTCCAAGGCTGGGAGAAGCCCACATTAATTGTCCTGTTAAAGAGCTGAGTTATTCTTGTTGTAAAGCAAGTGAGAGAGAGTGGGGAAAACAGGCAAGCCTGTAGCAGGAAGGACAGACGAGTGACCTGAAGGTCTTTCCAACCACAGGGATAGGAAGGTAGGCTGCTCTCTGAGGATGTCTCAAAGCCAAGGGCACAGGGAGAAAGGGTGGGAACCCGTGTTCTGGGTACTGGGAGGAATGGATGCTAGAGGGCTTCCTGGAGGAGGTGGCTTTAAGCTCTGACTCACAGGTATCTGAGCTTGATCTGAAACGGGAGACTGTTTCTATGAGAGCACAGAAGGCCCAGAAGACCTTCTAATCAACCCAGAGCCCCTGATGTCCCTACTCAGGGGTCACCTGTAACTGCCCCATGGTCCTCACCTTACCTGGAGAACCCATTCTTCTACCAGCTCCTCTGGCCCCCAGGAGGAACGGCCATCCCTCCTCTCCATTCTTTCCTCATTTCTCCTTCCCCCTCCACTTCTCTCTTCTCTGTCCCCAACTCTCCTCAAAGCTCATATCTGGGTCCCCTGCACAGCCCGGAGCCCACATCCCCACACATTCAAGGGCCTCTTGCAAATTCAAGCAAGAATTCGCCCTCCCGCCTCTCCAGCCCCCTTCAGTCCTGATCGGAGTTAGATGAATGAGTGGGTGGGGGGGCATTTAGGTGGCTGGGTAGGTGGCTGGCTGGCTGAGGGGGCAGAAGGGTGGATGGATAAAGTAAGAAAAATTGGCTAGAGCATGGATAGAAGGGTGGGTGGGTAGACAGGTGGATGGATGGGTGAGCAGACTGGTGGACAGGTAGGTAGGTGAATGGTGGCTAGATGGTTAGGTGTGTGGGCTGGTAGTGGGTGTCTGGTAGGTAGATGAAAGAAGAGGTAGGTGAGTGTGTGGATGGACCGATAGATGGAAAGATGACTGGGTGAGGGACGGCTGCACGGCTGGTAGATGGACAGGGAGACGGGTGGTTGGCAGCGGATGTCCGGTGGGTGAGTGCGTGAATAGCAGATAAGGGGGGGCCGGCGGGGAGATGGGTGGTTGGGCGCGTAGGTGGGTGGGTAGATAAGACGGTAAGTTGCTGGGTGGGTAATTAAAACCACAAGCTTATTCCAAAGCATCAGATGATCTCAAATCAGGGGTCACTGGACAACCACCAAGTACATTTTCAAGGGGATAAAGCAAAAATAACAGAGATTAAGTTGGCTGTCCAGCAACTGTTTGTCACCCCAGACAGCAATGTGGGCAGGCGGGGACCCCTGCTAGCCCCAGTGAGCCCCCTCTCCGCTCCTTCCCTGCAGGTGGGCTGTAAGGCAGCCGTGGTCTTATTCCAGTACTGTGTCATGGCCAACTTCTTCTGGCTGCTGGTGGAGGGCCTCTACCTGCACACCCTGCTTGCGGTCTCCTTCTTCTCCGAGCGGAAGTACTTCTGGGGGTACATACTCATCGGCTGGGGTATGGTTCTGGGGAGGGCTGCCAGGCTGGGGACAGAGGGGGCAAGGCCGGGGGGGGCTCACTAGGGGGCAGGTGCCTACCCAGCCTGCAATCTCAGGTCTTCCTGGGCTGTCAGTCCCGCCTGCAAGGCTCTAGCCAAGAATTGATAGAAGTCACCCGGATGTGTGACCCAAGGCAGGTGCCCTCAGGCCGCAGCTGCACCAGGGCTGAGTTGTGGGTCAGACAGGTTCTGTGGACATCTTTCCACTTCCCCTTCAGCCCTTGAAAGATACAGGGCCACTGCTGGTCTATAAGGTGCCTGCACCTAAATTAGAACAAGACTCTCCCTTTAGGGGGCACAATTTCAATCCTCAGTGGAGCGCATGAACAACCTATGCAGCCATATGGGGCAGCCCTGGTAACCCGCCCTGTTCTCCCCCCCCCCGGGCCTTCCTCCTCAATCTCTCCCTCACGCACTCTCTCCCTGCCTCCCACACCCTCTCCTCTCCTTTCCTCTCTCCTTCGGCCCTAACAGGGGTGCCCAGCACATTCACCACGGTGTGGACCATCACCAGGATCCATTTTGAAGATTATGGGTGAGCTGTCACCCTGTCCCCTCCTCCTGGCTGCCATCCCTTGGGGCAGATCCCCTGGGTGAGATGAGGGGGGCTTAGAAGCAACAGACTCTGGACCCACGCCTCTGAAGGGACTGGGCAGAGCTAGGGATAATGGGAGAACTGCTGACCGTGTCTCTGGCTGAGGACAACCTCTCTCATTGTCCCCCACCATCCCCTGCCCAGATGCTGGGACACCATCAAGTCCTCGTTGTGGTGGATCCTAAAGGCCCCCATCCTCACCTCCATCTTGGTAAGGCCTCCTCCCACCACTTAGAGATGGGGAAACTGAGGCCCAGACTGGGTAGTCAGCTTGCCTCAGGTCACGCAGGAAATTGATGTGTAGGTCAGAACTGGAACCTAGGCTTCCCAGTGCCTAATGCAGGCCCGTCCCCATCCCTTCACTCTCTCTAGAGTAGAGAAGGTGGATTGGGAGGCCCAGGCCTTGGGGGTGGGGAGTAGAGTTCCCAGGCAACTTGCCCAAAGGAGTGAGAGCTAGAGCACAGGTTAGACAGAGGGGCAGCAGGGCCCTAGGGGACAAGACAGGCCATCAGCCCAGGGGGCTGGCCACTCTGGCCTTCCCTCTCTGACCACCTGACCTTGGTGCTCCCCACCACCAGGTGAACTTCATCCTGTTTATCCGCATCATCCGAATCCTGGTTCAGAAACTGCAGCCCCCAAATGTCGGGAAGAGTGAAAAAAGCCCATACTCGTGAGTGTGACCCCAGGGCCCTGGCTTTCCCAGTATCCCCACCCCCGGTCCTCAAAGCATCCCACTTCCCCTTGAAGTCCCCCTCCAGTCACCAAAAAGCCATGTTGCTCTTGTCCACTTCTACCCCATGGCCCAGCTCAGTCCATGAGTGTCCCCTGCCCCAGCCCCACCCCCTCCAGGCTTGTTCACATTGTGTGCCAAGTCCCTGGCATGTGCCTGGCACAGAAAAGGGGCCAACACATGCAAGTGATGAATGCCCCGGGGGAGCCCCGAGTCTACCAACAAGACAACCACAGTGAGAACACAGGATTCCCCAATAACAACATCTGCAGTTCACCTGCCTGGCATGAGCTGGGGGTTCCCATTCATCTTCTCATGTCATCCCCACAGTCCCCTGTAAACTGTTCCTATTTTACAAGTGAGGAAACTGACGCACACTCCCTCGGCTCAAGGGCTTGGGGGTCTATCACGTGGCAGGGGGAGGGCACAGTGTCCATGGGGCAGCAGTCATGCTCCTGGCTTAGAAAGGTGTCCCCTGTGCTTGGGAAGACTGGAGAAACAGGCAGGTTCTCACGAGAACAATGGGCTTGAAGACTGAACAAAGGAAACAAGAAAAGGGTGGGAAGGTGAGTAGGAGCCTGCTGCCCGCAGATGGGAACCAGAGATTATCAGCTCCGCACAGACCACACAAGCCTGGGCATCCCACAAGGGCCTTCTAGTCCTGGGACTCTAGAATGTTCTTCTTGGCCTGGCTTCTCTTTGGGGAGGCTGTGCTGTGGTTTTAAGGTTCCTGGCTAGAATGTCACGAGCTGCTGGAGCGAGGATTCTATTCTGGACTCCTGTGATCTCGCTGATGAGACTAAGACAGGCTTCCCTCCTGCTGCGTGTGTGGGCGGAGCTTCTCTTCCAGTTTCTGAAGGGAAGGCCCTGCAGGAGTCTGCGGTCTGCTGGTCTGCTGAGGGGTAGCGTCCCAGGCCTACCCACCCTCATCCTCTACACTGTCTCTGGGCCTTCTTTTTCCCCCACATTCAACTACTCAAAAGGGCTTGAATCTGAGGCAGAGAGAGCTGGTCATTGCCAGGCCCACGTGGGTGACGTGGAAACTGAACAGCTGTCCGCAGGCAGAGGAGGGGGGGAGGGAGTAGGAGCTCCCCAAGGAGGGGCTGTCAGCTCCCGCTCTCCACCTCCCCATAAGCCTTCGATTTAAAGAAAGCTTCCATCTGTCAGCCTCAGCGCATGGGGTAGCTTTGCAGCCAAGGAGGGGTGGGCAGTACTCAGGATCTCAGCGTGGCTGGGAACCAGGTCGAGGAAGAAATGGGAGAGGCAAGGCCAGTTTCCCTGCCCCCAGTTTGCTGTGGGACCTCAGGCCCCAGACTAGGCTTCCCTGGGCTGGCTGCCAAGGCAGGAGAGTTAGACACGGAGACCCCTTCTCCCTCAGACTTCTCCCAGTAGAGAACTGGTCTCATGGATTCATTGTACTTTACAGTGCCCAAAGCACTTCTGAGTCCACAGTGGGTCCTATTTCTGTAATTTGACCATGTAGAGCATACATGTACCCCATTGTACAGATTGGGGCAACTGAGACCAGGAGAGAAGGAATCAGGATCTCATGTTGCCTGAGAACATTTCCCCATCATCTGCCACAGGGCCTGAAATACTACAATTATGCATCATCCTCAGGGTTCAGCATTGGCCCTCCTTTATACTCTCTCTTCCTGAAGGATGAGAATAGAGGAGTTTCTTTCTCCCTCGTGCTCCCCTCCAGGCTGGGAGGGCCAGGGTGGGGCATGAAGGCATAGGCACCACAGATGTGGACCAGGACCAGATGTGGACATAATATTTACGGGAGCCAAAAGTTCATCCTCACACATCCCGGTCATTTTCCTCATCTTCTGTGCCCCAGCTACCCCTGTGGCAGGCCCTATCGTGTCCACAGGTATAGACACAGATACCCACTGCCTGCCCCTCCCTGTCCCCAGGAGGCTGACCAAGTCCACCCTTCTGCTGATCCCCCTGTTTGGAATACACTACACCATGTTTGCCTTCTTCCCCGACAACTTCAAGGCTGAAGTGAAACTGGCCTTCGAGCTCGTCGTGGGGTCTTTCCAGGTACAAATGGTTGACTTAAGGCTGCATTCTTCTCCGGGCTTCAAGGGAATTCAACCTGGGGCCTTCGCCCCTTGCCACTGGATTCTGGTCTTCTTACTGTAATAAGTATTGATTAAGCACCTGCTGTGTACTTAGCCCTTTGCTTAACCAGGGGAACACAGGGCAGGGGCCAGGGGTTGGGCAGGGCTAGGGGCTCCCTGGTCTGTCTGCCTAACCTCCCCCGTTCCCTCCCCCCAGGGTTTTGTGGTGGCTGTCCTCTACTGCTTCCTCAATGGAGAGGTAAGCCCCTCCCAGACCTGG